ACCCAAGCATCCACCACAGTAATGAAATCATTGCATTAAGGGACTCCAATTTCTTAACAGCCCTGGGAAGATGAAGTGTTAGCTTTACCAAAACAAACAACAAATCCACTGTAATTATGCATAGTCCAGATCTAAATGTATCTCTAATTATAAGAGAAAAGAGCACAAAACTTAGGTGTCTAATATCCATCTAAATGAATGTAGTTCATGTTATATTATGCTAGATGAGGGCATTGAGATATCTACGTATCCAAAATGGAGGTAAGCAACTTTTGTGTTGAACGACATGAGAAGAACTAAAAGCAAATAGCAAAACCATAGATGGCACACATGCAACAACCTAAAATCAGTTGAAGCACCCTCGAACTCTTAATGCACGTTTATTATTTGTTTATTTTACTCCTAGTTCTCATTGAAACAATAGGATAAAGTTACTACATCTCAAAATGGAAAAGAATCGTCTTCAAGTGAAATGTAACAGTTGAACACTTCCATATATACAAACCAATCTGGCACTAACCTTATAGAAGTTGGTTTCAAGTACCTCTCCAGTGTAAACTAGAATGAAGTCCCTTCGGACTCGCAAGTTAAGCACTAAGAATGGAAAAAAATAATGCAGACTTCTCTAAAGAAAAGTCACATTTTAGTTTTCAAGATGAACACCTCTAGCCTAAGCTTACATTGCTGGTTATATAGCATCAGCTTTAGAAGACTGATTTCAGATTAGGCATAAAATTTGAAATCCCTGATGAAGCCTTCTTTCTTTGAATTGTGATTTATATTATCTATCTCTTGCAAAGAGGTAGCCAACTAGCCATTTTGCAAAAGGAAACAAGTAGATTAGCTTCTTTTCTTCCCTCCCTCCTTCCCTTCATGTTCTGCTATGCTGTTCCATATTTTCCCCCACCTTCTCATTTTAACCTCTTTGGTCACTCTGATATTTTCCTGCTAAATGATAGATCTATATGATGGTGCTACTTAGTGACCTAAATTTGCATATAACATTGTCAACATAAAGCAACATATTTCTAGGTCTTCAAGTTCAATATAATTTCCATTGATTCTGGAACTGAAAAATTAGTTGGAAATGATTCAAATAGCTTATGTTTTCTATTAGAAGTGTTGTATAACATTTACTAAGATTGATTAAACATCACATGATAATAAGACAACACTTTGATGCCAATGAAAATTGTCCCATGTTAGGATAGTAAATAACTGCTGCTATTAACGGAACTCAAAAAACAAGAATAAGAGAAAGACAAATTTTTATACATGAGGAAATATTCAACAACATCTTCTCCAGAATAATCAAAGGAAACCTCATAAGACCAGCTTAGATGCTCACACAATTTACGCATGAAAAATAGGTGAACAGCTTGAAATCAAACAATGGCATATTAAGCAGCCGTCTTTCTGATACATCTTTTAGAACAAAAAAAATCTATTTTCTATAGAAGCTAAAGAGCACCAAAATTGAGAGAAACTAAATCAATTTATTATAGAAAGCATTCCTTCCTAATTCCATCCAAGAAAAACAACTGTCGGGTGAATGATGGAGATCGAAAATAAGAACAAGAACATAGAAATCCGCACGAACCTGCTCTCCTCATCCTCGTCCTCTTCCACTTCAATCCACCTACTCCTCCTCCTCTCCCTCAGCCGGCGCCGCCTCCTATATTCGAAACAAACAAACCCCACATGAAGCAAGGACTGCAGAACGTACCCAAACACCCAAGCCCGAATCGGCGTCGCCGGCCGCTCCTTCCACGTCGATAGCAGAACCGCCACCGAGACCAACACGAACGCCGAATTCCACACCACATCGAGCGCCACGACCGGCCTGGAGTAGCCCCACCCGTGGTGGCGCTCCTCCAGCTGCACCACAGCTGCAGCCGCGGGCGGGGCCGAGCCCAGCAGCCGCCTGACGGTGGCCCTGCCGAGGAGCAGAGGAAGGTTCCAATTGACTCCGCGGGGGTGACGGTGGTGGTCGAGCGGGCCGGTGGGCCTCGAGGCATGTCCGGCGGTGCCGCTGCCTCCGCTCCTGCCAAAGGGGTCGGAATCCGCCATCGCAGGGCCGCCCGAAGGGAATGGGGTGGTCAATTTTGATGGTTTCTTATGGGGTTTAGGGAAACAAATGGGGCTCCAAAATGCCACCTTTTTGCTCTCTTTTTCCGGTCTACAATAAGTATGGAAGAGCGGTTCGGAGCGCGCCTCGGAAAGTGACTATTACATGATAATAATTATTATTATTATTATTTTCAAAAATGTATCCATATATATATATATATATATATATATATATATATATATATATATGTATATAAGATTTGAGCATCTTCCTAGACATCGAAGTCTCCCTATTGTTCGTTATATCGATTGAAGCTTTATAATTTTCTGATATAAAATCAAAAGATTATAAATAATTAAAAACCTTATAATTAATTTTATATATTAAAATTTTTAATTTTTTTCATAGAAAAATAAATTCTAATATCTTCCCCAAACTTGTCACTCACTAATCTAAATGTGCCACATGACATCTCATTGGTGAATCCAGTAATACATTTTGACTTGAAAAAGTCAACAATCACATTTTAAATACTACATGCTGATCATCCACACCTACAACATCTTAATGATTGATTTTGTCAGGTAGATAAAATCCACCATATCTCAACCAAGCTTTAAATTACTCTCGGCGTTCCTTGTGGTGTCAGGAGAAGAGGGAAAAAGGAAAGCATTGGAAACACTCATGGTTTTCTGAGTCAATCACTTCATTTCCTCATTATATCCTGTGATATAAAGGGCATGTGGCCAACTCACATATTCTCTGTGATACAGATAACATAAGATCATTCATCAGGCATTAATATATGTTAATGTCATCTATAATTAAAACACAGAATGTTGAGCAAGAATGTCAAGCAACCTACAGAACTTGGCATGTGAGCTACTAATTTTGTGTTTGGTATGTGCACTGAGGAGGTGCTGTGGATTAAACTGGAGGCAGCCAGCTGCTGTGTTAGGTGTCACACATGAGACATTGCAGCTGCAGGGGAGGCAAAGAGGCCAGTGAGAGAAGATAACAGATCATCAACCAGGTTGTGCTCAGGGCATGAGAGCTGTGGCTTTGCTTGTTTGAATGGAATTGCCATCTCCCAACAGGAGGATGAGGATGCTTGCAAGTCAGATGTTGCTGCATCTCCTCCCCATCCATGATGACTTGTGGTCTCTGGTTTTGTACCAAGTCAGAAGAGTTGGCATGCTAATATACAGTTGATTGAGAGTGAGATGGGAACAACTTGGCATGCTGCTAATATATATAGTTGATTGAGAGTGAGATGAGAACAACTGTGGGGCAATAAAGTCAGTAAACACAATTTTCTAATCACTTAAGCTTTTCAATATTATTTATTTATTATTATTATTATTTTCATGACATCGTAGTGGATTATTATATATGTATCCTTTCTAGTTTCATAAGATATCTAATCAATACTCGTGTAATGTTCTTTTCCGATGTTTACGCTTCGTTCATACGTCGAACCTAATTCGACTTGTATGCGAGAGAGGATGTTAGATAAGCTAATTAAAAATTTTATCATGCAAGATTTTTTTGAAAACACAATTTCATTGCTTGTCACGCAATCAAATTTTTTTATCTTTGAAAAAATATAACTTCATGATCAAAATGATGTGGTCGTAAACAAAGAAGAAGTTATGATTGTTCCAAATAAGTAGTAAAAAATTGCTTTATAGGCTCTCATTAAATTGGGAGAATTATAATCAACATGTTGGACCTCAATTTCAAATGGGTCCAATATTGGGCTTCAGTTGGGGTAATATCCTATTTATTGGGCCCTAATACATCAATAATCAAACAACCTATGCTATAGTAAGTCTCATTGCATACAAACAAAAGTGTTCTTTGGTTGATTATTTTCGAATGATTGGTATATTATACAATAATTAGATTTTGATCATTAAAATTTTCAAATGATTGATATATTATATAAAATTATTATACAATAATTAGATTTTGATCATTAAATGTAACTGATGATTACTTGTAGGGTTAAAACCTTCATCACAGAAATTTGTTGAACATCCTCAAACCTGTTCTTCCTCATCCTGTCCTTTTGCAGAAACAATTCCTTGCTTCTGATGGACTTCTAACTTTTACATGCAACACATGGAAGCAAAGATTCATGCAGGGTGTCCATTGCTTTCACTGGCACGCAAGGAATACTTTCTCTGCTACGCTCTGATATGAGACTGAGATTACTGATGAGCTTGAGACCAAACATTGCATCACAAGATCTTTGACACGATGAAGGATTAAGACAGCCATGAAAGGGACCACCGAATCTGTGATGTGAAGCATTCTTCTGCTTTGATCATGTGTGGCATTGAACTTTACCTGCTTCACTCCAATCTTGGATCTAAAGTCCGTGGCACCGCAATCTTTTTTTGTTCAAAGATAGTCTTCTTCTTCACTGATTCAGTAACAGAACCCTTAAAGCTAAAGATCTTGCTAGATCATGAGTAGAAAGGAAGAAAGAAGGTTAAGGAATTGGCCTGAGAAGAACTAATTGTGATCCAAGTCTGAAGAATTTTATGCTGTGGCATGCAATGATGTTACAGTCACAACCTACCTTGTGCACGCATTGGATGACTGTCACTGCAAGATTTAGTCACAGTGCAATGTTCTGCAAGAACAATCAATCAATGGCATGCCAAGAAGCACAAATTGAAGTAACTGAAACGAACAGTTCAGGCTACTGAGGAGCAACTACTACAGCTTCATTCTTGCAGGTTAATCCCTGCTGCTTTCGATCCATAACCGCGATAAAAAGAAAACATTAGAGGAAGGTGAGAAATGGAGAAGAATAATCAAAAGAAAAAGGATGAAAAAAGAGAGCCAACAACCAAAAGGCTTGGTTGCTGCACATGAATCAAATTCCCTTGGTGCAAAAGTCTTCAGCAAACTAGCCTACAAATGCATCCCTCCCCTGCTTGAGCAACTTTGATCCTGTCATCTGCCATGGCCGCACTCCTCTTGCAGTTCCTCTTCCTTTTTCTCACCTCTCTCTGTGTGTCTGCTATCTCAAACCAGGCTCCAGAGGTATCTGTTCTTCAATCAATACACCAATAGTTCATGTCTTTGCTCTGAAGTAATATTTAGTCATCACCATGAAGGATCAATGGCAGTGTTCATTGAACAATTGTCATTAAAGATGTAGATCATAGAGTAACCTCTGGATTTGTCTTCGACCTCAGCCTTATGTGGTCTACATGGGAGGCATACCAGAAGGTGGAGACCAAGAAGCTTTGCAAGCATCTCACCTGCAGATGCTATCCTCTGTGATTCCCAGGTAATTGAATGTTGGGAACGATCACCGCCGACCTGTGACCCAGTCTTAATCTTTGTGTTGGTCCATCACAGTGATGAAGAGGGAAGAGTGTCCCTAACACAAAGTTACCATCATGCATTCATGGGGTTCTCAGCCATGCTTACCGAGACAGAAGCTGCTTCATTATCTGGTTGGTGTCCTCTTCCTGTTGATTCCTACGGTTCTGTCCTCACTGGCTCTTGTATGCTTGAGATCAGGCTACGACGGGGTGGTGTCGGTTTTCCGTGACCGGATTCTTCGTCTTCACACCACACGCTCTTGGGATTTCTTGGAGGCAGAATCCGGCATTGGATCGGAGCGACTCCATGATAGATCCTCTAATGATGTCATAATTGGCATCATTGATACTGGTTGGTGCTCCATTCTGAGCTGTCCGAACACAGGCCAATGACTTGGATTCTCCATGCTGTAAGATCATTTACATGGTGTATAAGATGCTTTTTTGATGCAGGGATATGGCCAGAATCACCTAGTTTCAGTGATGCTGGGATGGGGAAGATACCTTCAAGATGGAAAGGGACTTGCATGGAAGGATCTGATTTCAAGAAGCCAGACTGCAACAGGTACGGATTGTTCTGATCACTATCACCTCAGATCTAAATAAGCATCATCTAGTCTATCCATGGTGACAGGAAGCTGATAGGTGCAAGATACTACACCAGCCAAGCTGAATCAATCCGACCTGCAACTAACGGATCCCACACGATCAAAGTGAATGGCTTTGGATCAGCAAGGGATTCTGTAGGCCATGGCACACACACTGCATCCACAGCAGCTGGCACAGTGGTGCAAAATGCCAGTTACTATGGCATTGCGCAAGGGGAAGCCAAAGGAGGCTCTCCTTCAAGTAAACTTGCCATCTACAAGGCATGCTCACTCGGCGGGTGTGCCAGCTCGACGGTGTTGAAAGCGATCGACGACGCCATCGATGACGGCGTCGACGTGATCTCGATATCGATCGGAATGAGCTCCGCGTTCCAGACAGATTTCCTCAGTGACCCCATTGCTATCGGTGCATTCCATGCCAACCAGAGAGGCGTGATGGTCGTCTGTTCGGGTGGAAATGATGGACCTGATCCTTACACTGTGGTGAATTCAGCTCCATGGATCCTCACAGTTGCAGCTTCCAGCATTGACAGGACTTTCCAATCACAAATCGTTCTTGGTAATGGAAGCATATTGAAGGTGAATTAGTCTGAAACTTTTGGGAAACTGATCTCAAGAAAGTGATCAATGTGTCACAATATGATAAAGTATTAATGTTCTCAGGGATTCGCTATAAACTTCTCCAATCTCAGTAGCTCAGATTCATTTCCCCTTGTGTTTGGTGGAGATGTAGCAGCAGAGTCTACACCAGTATCAGAAGCAAGGTACCTTCATGACTCTTGAATTAGTAGTGGATAGCTCTCTCCACTTGTGATCTGAAATCTTCATTCCACCATTGTGCAATTGATTCATAGCAACTGCTATCCTGGATCACTTGATGCTGATAAGACTGCCGGGAAGATCATAGTATGCGTCGGCACCGATCCAACCGTGACAAGAAGAGTGAAGAAGCTGGTGGCTCAAGGAGCCAGAGCTAAAGGGCTGATCCTGATTGATGAGGATGAGAAAGGAGTGCCTTTTGATTCCGGCAGCTTCCCATTCTCAGAGGTTGGAAATGATGTTGGAGCTCAGATACTCGAGTACATGAACTCCACCAAGTAAGCGACAGAGAAAGAGAGCTAAATCTCATGCCAAATTAAACATGTTATGCATCTGAATCCACTGATATGATGGATGCAGAAAGCCTTCTGCTGTCATTCTGCCAGCTGAGGATGCGAAGGAGTTCAAACCAGCACCAATTGTGGCATACTTCTCAGCCAGGGGTCCTGGAGGGCTCACTGAAGCCATTCTTAAGGTTTAAATCTCAGCTTATGTTGTGTTTCTATGAGACGGAACCAATACATGTCCATGAATGGTCTCTAAGCTCCATGGCTTGCTTGGAACAGCCTGATGTGATGGCTCCAGGGGTCAGCATTGTTGCAGCATCAATTCCTTCATCTGACATTGGAGATGTTCCAGTAGGAAAGAAACCATCAAGCTTTGCCATCAAGTCAGGCACCTCAATGGCTTGCCCTCATGTGGCTGGTGCAGCTGCCTTTATCAAATCATCTCATCCAAGATGGTCTCCTTCAATGATAAGATCAGCACTCATGACAACAGGTAAGCTGTTTCATGCAAGGAATTCCTTTTTTCATACAAAAATTGACAAACATCTTATTGGCAATGGCATAAAAAGTGATCTTCAAAGTCCTCCAGGAACAATCAACCGTTCTGCAGCTACCATTGCCAATAACAAGCAAGTAGCTGCTGCATGAGTTTACATGGTTCATTGTTGTGCAGCTACCATTACCAACAACCTCGGGAAGCCCCTCACAAGCAACTCAGGAGCCAATGCAAGCTTCCATGACATGGGGGCAGGGGAAATAAGCCCACTTAGAGCTCTGAGTCCAGGACTGGTGTTTGAGACCACCACAGAAGACTACCTGAGATTTCTCTGCTACTATGGGTACAAGGATCAAGTCATCAGGTCCGTCATCACTGGCACCAACTTTAGCTGCCCACCTGACCCCACACAAGACCTCATATCCAACATCAATTACCCCTCCATCTCCATTGCCAAGCTTGAAGGCAAGCAGACACTGGTGAAGGTGAGCAGGACAGTGACCAATGTTGGACCGGCAAACTCAACCTACACTGCTGCTGTGGACGCTCCAAGTGGCTTCGTGGTCAAAGTCTCACCTGAGAGACTGGCTTTCACCAAGAGATGGATGAAGGCCTCTTATGAGGTATCTTTTGGTGCGTACGATGCAAGCCGGGGGTATGGATATGGGTCGATCACATGGTCGGATGGGGCCCACACAGTTCGCAATGGTTTTGCAGTGAATGCTATGTGATCCTTTTTTTGAACAAAATGTTTTTTTATTGTATTTATATACATGTTTTTTTTTATTTCTGATTTCATTTGGCTTTTCTCGTTATTTAATATTTTGAGATTAATGGTAAGTCAATTAAAATATATATTAACTATAAAAGAACATTCATCGTATATAATATTATATACTTATATTCTCATAAATATAACTAACACCACTACACTTACCACAATTAATATAAAATACAAAAAAGTTAAAAAGAAAGGAGGAAAAGACAAAAGCCTCCACGACATCCACGCCGGACCAATAGTGATGACCCCAAAGCGTTGCACGACCGATCAACACCGTCCGATTCATATCGGACGCCTTCAAGAACATCTCTGCTACATGGCCCACGACTCGAGGGTCGGGAAGACCGGGAGAAGCGGGTCGAAGTCAAAAACCGGCGGCGGGCCGAACGGGCTGTCGTTGCTCGGTACTGCGACCGCAACCGCGCCAGTGTCCAGCAAAAACGCCGACGTGTCGAGTGTGGGCAGGCAGATCTGCTGCGGATCCGCTCGGGCGCCCACCGCCGGCCGCACCAGTTCGGGTCTCATCAGTTGCGGCATGGCCGGATCACCTTCGAGCCGGGCCCCCGTCACCCGCTGCACCAACTCCCGGAAGTTGGCGGGGTCGGCGTCGATGTACGTGGTGGTAGACCGCTTCGATGCGCGCGACTTCCGCTTCGAGACCCGCCCCGCGGGGGCGGGGCCGAGGGCGCCCCGCCGGTGGAGGATTGCGTCTGCGGCGGCGGCGGCGGAGGAGGAGGAGGAGGAGGAGGAAGAGGGGGGAATGAACTGTTGGTTGAAGAGGAGGAGAGGGGAGGAGAGAGTGTCGGCGGAGGCGGAGGAGGAGGTGGTGGTGGTGGTGTCGGAGAGGGAGATCTGGAGGGCCCGGGTGAGGGCCGCGTTCTCGCGGGCGGAGGCCTCGCTGATCCACGCCGACTCTGGGCGGTACATCGTCGCATCCAACGCCGAGAAGATCTCTTCCATGCTTCTCATAACATTCGAGGATGAAGAACGCGATCGATCAGAATTGGAGCTGGGAAGCGAGCGAGCAGGGAGAGGAGATGGGCCGTCGAGGGGTCTTAACAAGGCGGTGGGAAGGAGAAAGCGCGTTGGTCCGCCACGTCACGCTTCTAGATGCGGTCTGCGCCCGAGGAGTTCAAATAAATTAGTCCGAGTGACCGTGAAGCCGCGTTGTCAGTGCGACCCACGGTCACAGTCTTGCTCTCCGTTGCTGCCGCGGTGACACGTCAGTCCTCTTATCGATCTTTTTGTGGTCGGAGAAGAATAATAGCCCCCCAAAGTTTTATTATTTACATACCAACCATGGAGTTATCTGTAGAAAAGGAGGGTGTTCTTTGGAATTATGGTAAAGGCGGATGGTGTTATAGGTAGGAAGGAAGGGGAGAACTAAGTGCGCCAGCAGTGACGTGGAGAGAACCATCCGCTGCGTCCGGAAAGCGACACGTGCAAAGTGAGAAGGGCCAGACACCGTCCAATTTTTGGTACGTTTTAGGACCAATCGCAGCCGTTCGATGCCCACTCAATGGCTATTATCTGCTGCTTCCACCCTCCCGCCATCACACCTCCTTTTCTCGCATCACAAAAAACGCAACTATGCAAGGGTGGTTCGCCCGTGAAATTTTCAGGGGTGGCACGGCTTGTGACGTGGTTGCCCGACTCAGTCGACGCTTCGCCTTCTTCTCACGGAAAAGATGGTGACGTGGCGCCCGAACCAGCATCTCTGAAATTTTCGGGGGTGACTTGACTTCATTGGCGTTCTCATCACATTCGTTGAAGTAAATCTCAATTTTTCAGTCTTGAAATATAAAATTTGAAATTTTAGTTTGCTTATTTATTTATTTATTTATTTATGAGATTATTATTTATAGTGTGATCTAATTAAAATCTTTTTGTTACGTTATTATACACAATTGTGGTGATAATTTTAATTGCATATGCCATAAAAAAATATTTTTGATTGCCTGAAGTTCTTGAACAGATGCAGTAGATCATTACTACAATTGACAATATCACTGTATTCTTTCTCATGCCCTGCTTACCTCAAGAATGGACAACCATGGGTTGGAGGGCACACAAGGCAGTGATCCACTGAAACCTTCCATTGACAATTCTTTGAAAGCTGAGTAATAACCAGCTCCATCTCTAACACCAGCTTCTCACTCACTCTGTCACCTATTTCCTCCCCTGGAGACTGTGACTTCACAATCCAGTAAGCCATGACTACTAAATTGTAGTAACTCACAACAACATGGCTAAGAATATGGAATACTGATCATGTGCGAATCTTTCACTTTGACTTGCCCAACTCAACCACCATCTTGGTTTAAGCTTCTTTCCTTGAGTTGTTCATCATGTTGCACCCTTAAAAACCATCTGACATTGATTTAAATATCAGATACTGACATCAATATCAACATTATTCTGATCCAAGGACACTGCTCAGGTAGGAATAGCAACAGGTTTAATGGTATGAAAACCTTCCTGTCATCCTGTGGGCATCCTCATCCAAGGGTTTGGTGACAGATAAAGGGGAGTACTAGCTGACTTTGGGGTGTAGGTAGCTCTTGTCCCCTTTGACGACAGGTCATGTGAGGTTAGTCAGTAAGTGTTGACTTGTAAAGCTTGGGGAGGGTCAGTCCATGACCTATGTCATTGAAAACAATTCTTTCAGTACTTCCATTATCTGGCAAAGGATTTTGATTTGATGTTTGTATAAGATATATATGAATTGTTTATGCTTGAAGCTTCAACTTTAAGACACTAAGAGGTAGTTTGTTTGATAACTTTTGGAGGACCCTAGCTAAAATTGTGATTATAAAATGTTCTGAGAGAATCTTGATTACATCCACAGGAATTTGGGTCTCAATTAATACTGTTTGACAAGAGCATGAGTCAAGTTGGTTTAAAGAATTGGATTTATTTTCAATCCATAAGCTCATAAATATTGATAAAGTAAGGTGGTCTAGAAGCCTGATGCATGGTTTCTTTTACTGATATGTTAAAGAAAGAGAGACACATTAATTAGCAGCTTGATGGTTGTGATTTGAAAATAAGAACCACCATTGTGTAGTATTTGGTAAATCTTTCTCTTTTCTTTCTTATTTGCCATTGTTTTCTGCTACTTTGTTTTTGCTTTTGAATTTATTTTTCCATTTTTAATGGAGATGGTTAGTGGCAATTGCTTTTAGATGATTAAATCAGTAGGTATTTGGGATGCAATTAAACCTAGATGAGTCCATGTCTCTAATCATGAACATCTTGTGGAGCTTTCTCAGCTGCTTCTTTTATCTAATGATATTTTGTTTTGAACTTTCTTATTTCTTTCATTTACTTGTGAGTCCAAATTATGTTGCTGATCAAATGGAAGGAGGCAACTCAAACTAATAATTTGCAAAGAGCAACTTCTTTTGAGTTCATGCAGTCTAGAGGGCAATTAGGTTTAGTTTTGGGCAAATCATATTATTAAGAATTTAATTAATTATGGCAGGTAGTATGATAAAGTAACCTGAACTAATTGTTATGGGTTTAAGTCATTAACTAAGCAAGTATGCTGTAACTGATGGGTAAATCATACTAATTCCGATAATTCTGTCAGTCAAACATTTCTTCAACCTGTCTTTTTAGGTCTGGTCACCCACTTGGCCAACCTGCTGATCTCTAAGCAGTCTTATGTGATCTTCTTCTTTTGATTGTTGGTATTGAAGATGACTTGAGCCTAATCAATTGCCTTCTGGTTTCCTCCTGGTTGATCTTTTTTTATTAGATTTTTCATTTTTTTGTGAAAAAGAAGATTAGTCATGCAAGGAATGAATTGTATCAACCAAGACACCATGACTTTGGTCAACTAGGGTTGGTGGGGAACACCAGCGGCTTCTTGACTAAATCATAATTGGAATAACAAGATGGATTAGTTGTTGAAACCTCAAGCTTAATTGCATTATAAAGCAGGAAAGAAAATGGTCACTAGCAATTGGAATTCATTTCCAAGATTGGAAGTACTTATATATATATATATGCAATTATATTTTTATAACTTATAATTTTGTCATGGGCGCTCCAGTAGGATAAAGATCTAGTTGAATTTTACTGAGTTAATTTACAATGAAATGTGAAAAATAAATGTATAAAAAGACAATAGAGAAATGAGGATAAATGAGGTCAGATGGCCTAACTTTATTTCTGTTCATGTCTTCATGCAGAATCCCCACCTTTCCTCTCCCAAAGGGTCTCCCTCTGAAAGGACTCATAAGAACTTTCCTGCTTCATTTAGGACTTGAAGATAATTACAACCATGCAGGTTAGTACTTCCTAAACTGAACATTTTGAAGTCACATGGTCTTATCATAAAGAGTCTAAATATTTTCATCTACTCACAATAGGATTCAAAACATTATTTAAAAATTGCCTAAGAATAATGACAATCACTGGCTGATATTCTAAGATCAGCAGAAAAGATCTACTTTAAGGTCTATGTGATCTGAACTGAGTTCATCTAGTTAAATTTCTAGTTAAGAAAAAAAAATGATCTACTCTGCAAAAACATCAGAGCCTTTTGATCATTCTTGTTTCTTTTGCATAAACAGAAAAAAATGTCAAGAATGGTGGTATTTTTATCTGCATCTTACCAATAAAGGGATTAAATACATGTAATTAGAAGTTTTTACTACCAATAGAGAATTACAGACATGCCTACATTGGTTGTATGCACAAAACTAATTGAGCATTTCATCATACAATATTTTATGACTTGAAGATTTTGCCCTTAAATTCAAAATACTTTTTAATTTATTCGAAAAAGAACTTTCAGAACTCATGGATGTACTTTGCAATGTGGAACTCTGTACCATTGATGATGCTATTGATAGAGATTCACTTGTTTGAGACCTGTTGTTGGAAAGTATATCTGATCTTGGGGTTTCCTGCTCCTGTGTTTCTTGCTCACCTTGTGAATCATTTGACATTGGCAAGCTGCTAATTGAAGAGTGTGGTGGGGAGAAATCATCAATGCTACCAACTGTTTTCCCATCGATCGTGCATTTTAGGATGTATTCCACCTTAAATAAGTGAATCAAGAAATAAACTCAAAAATCAATTTAATTGAAAGCTAAAATTCTGTAAAATATATCATGATTTTTCTTCTTAAAAAAGTTTTGTTGCTCAATCTGAATTCTTCATCTTTCCTTGACTATACTCATCTCAATTTGCTTCTAACTCTGGACTCTTGCCATAGATCGACTGATTTCTAATAACTTATTCTGTACATGAAGTAGCCCATATTGTTGGCTGTGACCTGATTTCTGCAATATAAACTATTCAATTGATGAAACCCATGTTCTTCTTAGCTATTGCATATGTCTGTCAGCATTTGCTATATACATTTCCAAGCATTAGATAACTGAATCGGACTACTTTTTTCAGCTAAATGTTCATAGTGATTTGGGATGGAGGATATTTTGCACTGTGATATATTGCTACATAATTAAGATTTTAAAGGCAGACATGAGACTGTCAACAATATAATTCTCACCATGTTTAGGTTATGCAAAAATACAGATGCTTAATTCGTATTGTACTTTGACCATGAGAATATAGGATGCTGCTCTTGCAACTCAGCTTATTTGTGTATTGTACATAGAACTGGGGAAGTTTCAATCAAGGTTTTCCACTACAAAGATATTATTCGGTCATCATATTTGTATGGTAATGGAGCAAATATACATATTACTGACACTAAAATTTATGGAACCACAACAAGTAGATTTATGTAGATATCAATATAGAGCCTTTCTTTATTACCTTTTCCATGGTTGGCCTCTTATCAGGGTCCTTTCTTAGACATTGCTCAGCTACAGTAATCATCCAAAACAGTTGGTGCAGGTCATGACAATCGAGAATTCGTTCATCAATCAGTTCTGGGTATTTCCTTTCTCTCAAAAGTGGTCTTGCCTGTAGAGAAAGAAACATAATCGTTAGAGAAGAAGATACAAGAAGGTAAGAGAAAGATACAATATTAGACATACCCATCCTACAAGGCTTTTATCTTCCAAATTCTTATTGATGGTAGTCCGACCGGTGATCACCTCGAGTAAGATAACTCCGAAAGAATAAACATCAGTTTTAGTTGAGACTCTGCCCCGTTCTGTGTACTCTGGTGCCAAGTATCCAAATGTGCCAACTACATTGCTTTCTGACAAAGAACAAGACTGATCTTGTTGTTTTCTTGAAAGCCCAAAATCTCCCAGCTGATGCATCCAGCAGAAATAGAGATTCAAATTATGTAAGTTATCAATTCACTATTACAAGTTCTCTGAGGATTTACAGTTGAAATTCAGTACCATAGGTTCATATTCATGGGTTAGAAGGATATTGTTGGGGCTCATGTCCCTGTGGATTATGTTGTTCTGGTGCAGATAATTCAAACCTGCTGCCGTTCCCAGCAATATCTTCATCCTGTGTTTCCAACTCAAAATATATGGGCTGCTTTCTGCAGGAAAAAATGTGTTTGTACAGGTTAATGCTATGATCTTGTGGAATCACCAAAGTCAAGTGAACAGGGGTGAGTTCTTGTCTAGTTTCTTTCTTTCTTTCCCTTTTATGCTGTAGTTACAGGATTTGCTGGAAATCATCTAGTCTAGGAAGACCTTCATGGAACTAGGCTCATTTGTTTTCTTGTTCTTTATATGCATGTGATGATTCTTAAAAACAATGATGGCAAAAATGGATTAATTTATCACAACTCTAAGGTTTAAATGGGGCAAATGAGCGACTAATTCTATCATGTATTTTTGATCTGAAACAAATATAATTGTATTGAAACTGCTATAATTGTATTCACATGTACTGCAGTCAACTTAATCCACAATGGAATGAAGCTCTCTGACATCAGTAATTTGGATTACTCAAGAGATCAGATCTCCAAATAGATTTGTAGGGAATAGTTGGTACATAGTATAATAAGGGTCTTGAAGTTGAAGATTACTGGACTCTAAAATTCGTGAGCATAAACTTTAAACATCTAAGTCACACATGCAAAGTTGTTCAAATTAGTACAGATTTGTAGTTTTCTTTCCACTTAGTTTGGGATGTTATCATTGTGAAAGGATCATAGAAAGGTTCTTACTGAAACTATGCGGTTGTCAGATAAAAGAAGAGAGACAAATATTGTAAACCATATCTTACTTGATAAATGTTGATTCAAGGAACCATTGCAGACATATTCATAAACAAGAAGCCTGTGATTTCCTTCGGAGCATGAACCCAGTAACATGACCACATTTTTGTGCTGAAGTGTGCCAAGAACATGAACCTCTGACCTGAATTCCGTTTCTCCTTGTGAACTCACATGTTTATATTGCTTGACAGCGATACATTGGCCGTCTGTAAGAGTTCCTCTATAGACAGATCCAAATCCTCCCTTAGATAGGAAATGTTTCTTAGAAAATCCATTTGTTGCTGTGTAGAGCTCAGCATAAGTAAACTCCCTTACTGAAACATTTTTTTGTCTTCCGTTGCCGCATTGTTTACATATGGGATATTCTAATCCATATATCAGTGTCTCCTCAGCAATATTATTATTCTCTGTTTCTTGTTTTTTGATGTCATCATTATCATTTTGTGTGATCTGCATCTTGAAAGCCAATGACCCTTTATTCTCTTCTGCTATTTGAATGCTCATGTAATTATCTTCTTCTTGAAGATGAATCGAAGAATGCTGTGCCACATAATTCCTGAAACCTGAGAAATTCCAGTTGATATTAGCCAAGTAATTATCTCTTTGATATTTTAGTATCAAGCTGGATCTTACACAAAGCATGTGAAGATACGTATATACAAATGCACAACCTTAATTGTTTCTCTGCATTTAACATGCTTAGCCTTACTATATAAAAGTGGAGATTTATTGCCTTTGGCATCTGGCGGCAACCTAAAATGATTTGGAGACGAGCATTCTTCTCTTGATCCAATCTACTTATATCACAAGGCATATGAACATGATCATATCTCTAATGCTAGAATTGATCAATTTATAGAAGCTTATGTGACTTCACATTTCTCTTCTGAGTTTGGCAGCTGCAGAAGAAACCGAGTGCTCTCAAGTGTTAAAAGTAATGTGTGCCAAAGGACTACTGGTGTCACAATACATTAAAACTACATCTAACAATAACTTCGGAAGAAATGTGCCAATGTGCAGACCTATTGTTTAGAAATGAATGACCAACTTGTTTCTTGTCTAATGGCTTGCAGTCACTTGTCGATTAGCATGTTGGTCATTTCTTATCGGAAATCTTAAGTTCTGTTATTCTCGGCAACTCAAAATTCTCTACAAATTCTAGGCTGGAATCTGTTATCAACCTGAAGCATGTTTTGATACTAAACCTTTTTAATTTATTCGGTATCCCTAAGAAGATTATTCTGTATATAGGAGCAGGTGCATCAACATATCAAAGAAAAGGGTGGCCTACCTCGTGGTGATATGTCCACACTGAAAAGATCATCATCATCATAATCATCATCATCATCAGTAAATTCAAGTACAATATTAGAGGCTAGTGGTTCTATCTCTGTCCCTGTTATCATCTCATTGTACCTTATGATCTTGCTTACATTTTCATTTGAAAATTCATCATTTCTTTGGTTTACTTTCGGCTCCCTTAAAAGTTCGACGCAACTGTTGCGTTTCATCCTATATATGCCACAAGATAGCCTTTCCATGAAATAGTTCTTGTCTTTTTTCATCTGCCTGTTGCAAAAAAAAAAAGTCATGTTTTCAAAATGCAAATGTAAAACCAATAGCACTCTAATGTATAAATCCATAAAAGGTTTTTTTGTCGATCTTTAAGACTAGTACGTGTGGAAAAATTCACTGATCTCGAGAGTATTTGGTAAAGTAGAATAATTTTTGTTTGTGGGTGCTTCTTTGGGTTTCAGCAAGAAGACTACGCTTGCAATTGTCAATGCTAATACAGCCTTTTACCTTTAGTGCATGAGTCCATTATTATGTTTCTTTTCCCTTTTCTTTTGTTGCATCAATGCCCATTTCTGAAATGGAATGAACTAAAGCTTACATAAATATACTTAGTTATCACTTTTCATACCAAGAAGAAATGTATCATTTTGTCTAACCTGTCAAGGATTATCCATGTTGCCTTCAGCCTATTGGCAGCTTTAAGAGCAGCTTCTTTTGGTGAAGATTCTGCAACCACACTTATGCTAAACCCAATCTGACATCCCCACAACAAAACAATTGATTGTTAGCAACCTTTTCTTCTCAAATTTGACTGCTTGTGGATTGTCGCAACTGAATCTTGAATCACGAATGTTGCACAATAGTTGATCCTCATGTCAGAATTACTTCTTAAAGACTTCAGATAGCATCTAATCATGAACACATTGATGTAAACATTTAAATTTACCATGGTGATGTACCTTCTTTGATTCATAGAGCTGGCTAATATTCAAGTTCTCTGCACTGTTCCGGTACTCTTCCTCCCTCCTTGCAACTTCCTGTTTGATGATATCATTGTTTGCTGCCAACATGGAGTTTGAGTCTACACTGCTTTTGTATCCCACTGAAACCAAAAGAAACTTTAAAGCTAATGAGAGGTAGACCAATTCATGTATTGAAAAAGCTCAGTTGATAGATTTTTCGGTTTACCACTGTTTCTTTGGTTTTCTTTTCTAAAGACAAGTGCTTGTGTGTTCTTACTTAATTTCCTAGCTCTCAGGAAAGACAACGTACTGGGGGTATTAAACTGGTGAAGAACTCCAAAGAGTGTGAGTTCATCACCAGGTTGAAGGGAAAGACCATCAATGGCCCATTTGATTGCGCTGGAACTGATCTCTTTCGATGCATCCTGGATCACCACCACCCTCTGAATCGCAGTGGACACAATGCTACTTCCAGTTTTTGGAGCACTCATCATTCGAAGATATAGCAACCAAGATGAAAAACACCGAAAAGGATCTCTACTATGAACTCATAATTTTCTTGGGAAAACCTGTCTACTTCAGAATAACCGTAGCAAATTTGATGGAGACATGAACTAAGATCATGCCCGGTAGAATGGTTTCTGAAAACTTTGAGAGATTCCAGTATAAATTAGCAAGAAAATATTGGAGGAACTTGAAGAACAACTTCTAGTGAGCTCAAAGGTTATAATGCCAGGATATTCTACTCCAGAATTTAAGAAAATTAGACATACTCTGTTATACTAAGCAATCTGCAGAAGAGAAACAAAAGAAAAAGAGCTTGATTCAATGAAACTAATTAGGCTATGAGCAACTTCATATACTCAGATCTCGAAAGCTAAGAGTTGATCCAAGGATGCATCTTAGATCCTAGCTCAAGCGCATATTCGGATATCCAAAGGTTTGGGATCTAAACTCCTCATTTAATATTTATGAGCCACAAGTTCTGCCAGAAGACAAAAAATTACGCGGAGATTCCAAGGTTGGCAAGCATTTTAAAAGCTCACCTTGTAGCTTACAAGTCATTTTCATCTGGATGTCAAACAATACAGTGTGGTTGGAAGGAATCAAAGGTTAAGAATCTGGAAATGTTGCAGTTTCTTCTGATTCAGTATGATTCCCGGACTGTGAAGTGAGAGTCTGAGGCAGACGCTTTACTCATTCAAGCAACTCAGCTTGTTGACTAACTAGAGTTAAAAGAGAAGTAAGATATATAGTTTTCTGTCTTTGTTTCTATTGAAAAGTTGTTTTGTTTAGGTGCATATATATGTTTATTATATGATGAAATGCTTAATGACAGGCAAGTCAAGAACTGCTTTTGCAGAGCTGCTACAGTGGATGGCCTGAAGCAGGTCAGTAAGTTTACAGTCTTCATTTCTATGGTAGTAGAATCTTCAGTGAAAATTTCTATTTGATCTATGACAATTTGAGATGGGCAGCATATGAGGTCAGTATCTTCGTCATCTTTTTCGAACTCCAATGAGAATTCCTTGGTGGCATCAACTACGACTACAGGACAAGCAACTAAAGACAGGATGTTCCAAGATTTAACTTGATGGATTATCAAGAAAACCCCATTTGTCTCTTTCTCCCATGATTTGATTGCTTGGAGCTGATTCCAGCATTTTACTTATCACAATGCATTTGCCCCTCATAGCTTTGATATGGCATATGTATCACTTCAATTCAATTAAATTAATACAATATCATCATGACCCACATTATATATACATATATGACATATTAAGGAAAATTATTTATAAAAATAATTAAGGTTATTTTTTTCTGGTAATAATGTCATCTGATTCATACAGACAAGCATGACACTGCAAAATAAAGTTAATTCTTCATTGACTGATGAGTAGTCTAATACAGTAGATTAGTTATTTTTTTTCTGGTAACAATGTCATCTGGCATCTGATGAATGTTCATGAGTTTATCAGTTTGATCTGAACACTGATTGATACAGACAAGCATGACACTGCAAAATAAAGTTAATTCTTCATTGACTGATGAGTAGTATAATACAGTAGATTACCAAAGTAAAACATCTTCAAGTTAACAGGTTCTACAATTCTGAGGCATGGCCTCTATAAACAATGAGAGAAAGGAGAAGAAAAGAACATCATCATCTACAGGTCTACTTTGTCAACAAGGCAAAGAGAGAGGGGAAGAATCTAAAGCTGGATGAACTCAGTACAAAAACAGTGGAAGGAGATCATTCAGTTCTCCCTTCCCAGTATAGCAGAACTCTTCAGCTAGTTCTGCGTTGGATTCGACCTGCTTGGAGGCATCTTCCTTAAGCCTGCCCTGACTGCCTTCTCAGGCTGCTTAGCTAGCGCATGCGTGCTGGTTAGATCAGCAGAATTTGATGACCAATGCTGCAGCAGCTTTCTGGTTTGCCAACTTCCTCTCATCAACTCCTCGTCCAGGGGCAGACTGGATGTAGAACAGAGATGACAGTGAAGAAGAAAGAGAACACACAGCATACTCACAGCTCTTGAACCGGCTCTCATGGTTGTTGGATGCAAAGAAGAAATGAGATCGCCAAAAGATGAGGAGTGCCAAATTTATGCACGTCTTTTAGGGACTAAAATAAATAGCACCATGTGAGAACAAGTTTGAAGCATGCAGCCACCTTTAGCTTTTCTCACCATAGCAATGTCTTATGCACTTGGATGACTGAACCTGTAATCAGATAACAAACTAGTAGTTAAAAGGACAGACAGATGTAAAGGTAACTACAACATCTCAAAGAAAAACCAAACAGCTGCTCTAACAAACAACATCTCCACATTGTAATAGAGCTACAAGGATCAGAATGTTTGCATACATTGTAAGAATTTATACAGAATTACAGTAACCGAATGAAGTAATTACTGCTATTCGGGTGTACGCAATAGAGTATTACATTTGAAAGAAAACAGAACTGCAAAGTTCCTGTGATTTATTTTGGCATGCATACTGCTAAAAGCAACTAGTTTATGGACAAGAGGATTACAATATGTTGATCTAGTTATCTTCTGGAGGGTGGAGGTTGGAACTAGGAGATGGACCATCATGTGATCAACAATTGACTATTACAAGTATCTGACTGCTTCACAGAGCAATTTGATTTAGTTTATGGAAGACATGTGACTGAATGTAAAAATCATCCTACTAACTAGTCACCAGCTATTGCATCATAAACATATATGCCTAGATTTAGATTAGCTGGCCTGGTTTAGTCTTTAGATTTGTAGGCCAACTCTGCAATGGGAAGTACTTTTGTCCTGGAGTCCTCTAGATTCCAGATCCAAAAGATATAAATTTGGGAAGACTGTAAAAGTTAGATAAGCTGCACCCTTGTTTTTGGTGCTGTGAGATCTAAATATATAGGCCTTCACATGCACAGGTAGTTAAATTACAATCATTCTTAGTGGAGTCTGCTTTTGACCACCAACTTAACCTTTTCAGAGAACCCTTTGCTCTCAAAAGGTTGGAAATGGGTCATCTTTATAAGACTAAAGAGGGCTCATTAATAAAATGGATGTGTGCCAAAAACCTGCATTCATTGTTCATCTGATACAAGTTCATGACACCCATATATATGTATGCAGGCAAGTGTTTTCCCTGCTCTTGTTAGATCATTCGATCTTTATCAAAAAGATAAATAGGTATCATCAGCACAACAGACATCAGGAGAGCATTTTTCTTTAGTTGTCATTGAAGTAGGTATCAAGTAGTTCTTCACATGTTCTCGTTATCCCCTTTAATATAAAAAGCATTGCTGATTACACATCAACAAATGCAAATACAAATTAGGCTTGCCCTGCACAGCTATGAAGAACTTCCAATCACAAACATTGCCCAACTATTAATAAAATCGGTCAAGAGAAACCTCTGATCACATTAAATCATTTAAGGTGCTTTTGTACGTGCAAATGAAGTATGAAGAAGGCCCACAGTCTATGTTCCAGCCCAAGGAAAGATATATCCTTTAGATGTTTCCATATCAAGTTAACACTTAAAGAGTAAAAGAATAGAAAAAGAACTTCTAGGTGAGGACCGTCACCATTTGCAATCAAAATAAATATCATCAGTCTTCTTTTTGCTACTTGATTTCATCGGTCTGCAAAAGAAACACTGAATCAGTTGATCATGGATCACTTCATCAGCCAATGTAATAATAAACACTAAAGAAAACATAAAAAAGTAAACTAGATCTGTTGATTCCATCAGTTGTTCTGTCTCTCTCAAGAAAAAAGTAAAATAGTTCAGGATCAATATTGAGGGCTAATCCATGTATTAATCAACACTATGGAAGATGTACCAATATTAAGATATGAAGGTCCATATAAAATTTATATCTTCAGAATCTTGCATGGATAAGAAAAAATTGTACACTATAAATGAATAACTATGGAACAATGACCGAATTGTTTATATACAAGATGTTATTGGACAAGCAAAATGACAAGTAATCTAGGTCATGTTCTTCTACAACAGATCATGGATCGCACAGGAAGAAATGTAGCTGGAAAATCGACTTAAGTGCAGTGCTCTTAAACTGATTGTGCATGAAAAGAGGGAACCTCTCATATGGGCCAAAAGGGTTAAAACACTAAAACTGTAAGTTTCTTTCAAGTTCAGTCAGTCCTTTATATCAATTTCAAGTACATGAAATAATCTCCTTCGTTTCATTATATTATTTCGATCTCATAGACATGAGGCGAATACATTTGTCAATAGTTAAGAAAGCAAGGTAATAATTTAATTCTTCTATTTTTCTGGCAACATGCAATTTAAATCAATCCAAATTTTGTAATTTTTATATTTATTCAACTAAATTTTGATTTAACATATAACTCACAAGAAGCTTAACATTATTATAAAATTAATAATTTAAATCTTACTCCTTTGCTTTTAAAAATATATTTGATTTGAACTTTTGAACAACTTATCATGAATAACACGCTAATTAAAATGCGGTTAAAAGATAACACTGATAAATATACTAAATACTTCCACCAAAAAAGAATATAACAACAAAAAATAGATAAAAGCAAAGTACCTAAATAAACGCTAAATTGTAAATCGAATGAGGTATAAAGCAGTTTCCTTTTTCAGGGGAAAATTACACAAATAGTTTTAATATTTATACCAATCCCTTTTATTTTTTATTCTGGAAAAGCCAAATATATTAGAAAAGTAAAATAAAAAAAATAAAACTTTAAAAATAGATCAAAAATAAAAAGAATAAAACTTTTAATAGATCATCGAAGAAAACAAGACGATGGCGATGAAATAAAATGTGATGGAAAAGAGGGATCAGATAGAGCTAATACAATGGTAGCCATCATGTCGGCTATCAAACCAATAGGGAAACTAATCACTCATCATCATCTCTCCCCCAGTATCATCCATCTTGAAAGAACAAAGGAAATCGGATAATACGATCACCGCAAATAAACATCCTCGTTGCATCAGAAAACAAACAATAGAGAGTTAGAACATTGGGCATCAGATCTCCAAGGTGATATGATGTGCAACATCACAAAAGATGCTTCAGACGCAAATTACCCATTAAAATTAACGGACTCCTCATTTGCCCACCGATAAGCAGATCAAACGGTGAGAAAACAAAAAAAAGGAAACATCAAATCAAGCATAAACCGAGGAGGAAGGAGAGACGGCAGTAAATCCAGAAGATGAAGACGTGACTCGGGGAGATCCCGTGAGGGCGACAGAGGCAGGAGAGGACTCGGTTATATAGTGTGGGGAAGATTTAGGGTTAGGGTTCTTGTTATTCTCGTGACGATCTGGACCGTCCGTTCTGGTCAGATCGAACCGTTGCAATCGAGTCGGCCGGGGCCGTTTCGACTCACCGGGTTATCATCCTAGTCTTTTAACTGAGACGGGTAGGATTTAGTCTATCTTTTTCCAGATTTAAAACACATCTAATAGGGGATTCCATCTTTCTTTGTTTCGGAAACAAGAAATTCGAATATGTTTGTCTTGTTTTGATTTATTCCAGATGTTTTGTAAATAAAAGAAATCCAACAAAAAAAACTCTTAAATTAGAGCAAAAAAGTTTCTTCCAATTGAGAATTGCTCCTCTTAAAATTATTCATATTTGTTTTTGAGATGAGTATCTGACACATCGAAACTGATATGTGGGCTAATGTAATTTTCAAATATTATCTCATATTTTAAAAAAAGTAATTTATTTTTTTAATATTTTTTAATTCAATCCATCGTGAGGGAAAATCATTATCATGATATATAATCATATTATATATCACGCATCTCTTTGATCTCATAATATATGCATATTTAATATTTTTGATCTCAAAAGAAAGAGTATTTTACTCGAGGTTAAAAAAAATAATATTCATATTTATTTGTACGATTTCACTTCAATGTTAGGAGAGGGAATACTTTTATCTTATACCAATCATTATGATTCTAAAATATTTTACATAAGTATGTTATATTATAAATTTAATTAGATTCGGATTATGATTAATAATTAATAAAAAAAAATCTATAATAGAATTTCTTAAAAAACAACAAGGGACTCTCTAATTTATTTATTTATTTTTTATGCCTTCGACTATAAATATACTCAAAACATATCAAAACATATATTTACATATCTTTTTATCTTTCCTTATTTTATATTCTATTATTTATAGTTTAAAAGATGAGAAAAAGATGAAAAACGAGTCTAGTTTTCCTTATTAATATGCTTTATAATAATACGTTTGTATATTAAATAAAAAAAAATTTAAATGACATCGAGTCTGCATATTTAAACTTTTATCTATGGTTATTTGATTTCAATTCTTGGCATTAATATTTTTTCACATAATAGAAACATGATTATAGTTTTTTATACTAATAATTGGTAATAAGAGTTTCTTGAAATCAAAGTAATTTATATCATAAAGAAATTTTAGATCTATTTATGTAATTAAATTTGTTCATCTTTTGAATAATTATTTATTAATATCACTTTTAAATTAATTAATAATGTATTATGTCTGATCTATAAATTTATTCTTCCGTACTCTTTGCTTGATTATCGACAATGCAAATAGGGGTAGAATCATGACAAAAGTATATTGCTCGTATTCTTTGTTCGGTGAGCTATCGACAACAGCATTGTTAAGGGTGATGGCTTCGATTAGTCTCACTCGAATCATAGGCAAATGGTTGTGAAGATAGCATCGTTGTTACATGCAGCGACAATAGCTTATATACACTAGCCCAAGCTCGGTGGCGATCTACCTTGGTCATTGGTGCTACACATGGAGTGATGTCGTTGTGTGTGATAGCACAACAAGGCAACAGCTATGTTAGAAACTACCTTTGATTGGCGATTGCAACGATACAACTACAACAACGACGTTTGTTAGCCATAGTCGATGACAATGGGATGCTGGAGGTTGGGACTGCCCAATGGCTACACGATGACCATAACGATTGGCAATTGATCGTAGACATATGTATGGCCAATAAGAACTCATGTGGTAATATTTATACTTACAAAACGATGCTTATACATTCGATGACACTCCTCTAATAATCAAACCAATATTCATTCATTCAAAAATATCCATAACCCATTACAGAATTCTAAGTCTATTTTAATGAATTTAAAATGGATATAAATCTTATATATTGTCAATTCTAAGTAATGCACATGTTAATTTGATGTTATTTATATACTGAACTCGATTATGCAGGTGTACGATACGTCAAGGGGAAGTTTTATGGTTATTGGATGTATCAACTATAAAAAAAAAAATTAAGAAGCTAAACAGGCTGAATGCAAAGCAATCATTAAGGCTATTTTCACGGTTGAAAATCCAATGCATACAAATTTAGATTTTTTAAAAAATATTTTTATATTAATTATTATGAAAATATATTATTGATATATGAATCAATTCGACGTGTTTCGAACATGTGTACGTAAGATTATCCAAAATACTTTTGAGATGGAAACGTCGAGTTCTCGTAGATATCATCCGAGGTATTATCTACATGAAGACAGAAGTTGAGATAGTGTTCTCAGGTTGATCATTTCGATACTCAGTAACTTGAGATAAATAAGTATAATCATCAATGGTAAAAGGTGAACCCTTAATTATATTAAAAATAAGTTTTTATATCAAATAACGAATGAATGACATATTCCATAAAATATTTTTCAAGAAAATATCTTTTAACCATTTCTAATAATTTTAATTTGACTTTTTATCTACGTAATAATAGACGATAAGAATAAGACAACTGGATCGATGTCTACACAAACAAAACGATAGAGGATAATTTTTATCCCACTCTTGATATCATATGAAAAATATATATATTAGTCGATAATATATTTTTTATTATTAAAAACTTTGTTAGATGACATAAGAAGATTAGTTATAATGTAAATGTTATAGATTTTATCTATTTCTCTTGGATTACCAAGCTCAAAATATATCATTTAAAAAATAATACATTTCTGCGAATCATATTTACTTGTATGCAGGTGTCCTTTTCAAAATAAAAAGACAAAAAATGTTGAGTTAAATCGATTTAGCTTTTAGAGGGATTATATGTAAAATAAAATGATTTGACGGACTAACATGTAAAAAGACATTTGGAAAGGGTATAGGCGAACAAACGGGCATTGAGAAGGGCATTTATGGCATATGGGAACATGTCCCCTCATAAATAGCATTTATTTCCCGTTTTAAACGCTTACATTCCCCCTCTCTTCTACCCATCACGAGGAAAAAGAAGAGCAAAGAGGAGGAAGAAGAAGAGCCGCGCGTAGGTGTTTCTCTTTCTCTGCTTCCCCAGATCGTATCATTCTCTCCGATTCGTTGTTTGTTCTCGAATCCTTTGCTTTTCTCTTATTTATTATATGTTGTTTTCTATCTCTCGGTTAGTAGATCTGAGATCCAGATCCCATTCCCTTTCGTTCTTTGATTTCATCTCGTCTTTGCTTCCGGTAGATCTTTGAATTTTGCATCGCTCTGATGCAGATTTGGGATCCAACATCTGTCTCTTGTTAGATCTTGGATTCGTGCAATTCTGGATCCTTTTTCCTTGTTTTCAATGATGTTAATGTTGTAGATCTATCAGATCGGGAAGAATGGGGCTCACCTTTGCGAAGCTCTTCAGCCGCCTCTTTGCGAAGAAGGAGATGCGGATCCTGATGGTTGGGCTTGATGCCGCCGGTAAGACGACCATCCTGTACAAGCTCAAGCTGGGGGAAATCGTCACCACCATTCCCACTATCGGTGAGAATTGCTCGCCTTCATAGGTTGTCCTTTCTTTTGAATAAAGTTGATGACAAATGAGATCGCCAGTACGACTTCTAACATTCTCGAGCAGTGTGGTTCCTTCCTTCACCAAACTTCTAATAATTTGCTTTTAATGATCTTTTTGCCCTCTTCTGATGCAGTATTAGTCAAACTCATATAGCTTTATCATAACTGGCTGTGTTATTTTTCTCCAGCCTAAAAGGCTGTATTATGTAATTTCTTATTGTTCTGCTTTTATGTGCTTGCGCTCATGTTCAGCATATTTCTGTACTTCAACAGCATTCAATTTGTATTATCCTGTGAAACATGTGGTAGGTGCTACTACATTACTTGTCCTGGTGGAATTGGAAATTTAAATGACTATAAAGAGAATTATAGTATTTATTTATTCTTTAACTTTTGGAATTATTGTCATGAAGACACACACACACCTTCGTTCCCCTTCCAACATTTGTTTTGGCTGGTTGCTCCTCTAGCATCAAGATTCTAGTACAAAGTAAGGATGCCTGCGAACTCTTTCTTTCTCATATTCTGGAGGATCTGATTTTTGTGGCTAAACATATTGTGTGGCGTTTATGACTTGATACTGTCAAAATGAAATTGGATTATGCAAGAATTTTGTGTCTGTTCTATTCATTTGTTAACTATGTGCTTTTACTGCAGGGTTTAATGTGGAGACTGTGGAATACAAAAATATAAGCTTCACTGTCTGGGATGTTGGTGGCCAAGACAAGGTAGGTTGGTTAATAATACTCGTCAGGTTCCTTCTTATTATGTATTAGAGATGGTTTATAGCCATTTTAAGAGGTGCTAATTTTGCTGATGTAAAGAAATTTTTGGCATAGGAAAATAGGCAAATAATTTGGTGATACTGAGTAAGCTTCCGCTTAAAATGCTAACAGCATCCTATCATGTTTGACAAAATCAAACAGAATTTGAAAATTCTTGTAAATGATTGTTGCATCGGCTGCATGACTTATTACAGTTTGACTGATATACTGGTAAACTGGGATGTGAGAACAGATTAGACCTTTATGGAGGCATTACTTCCAGAACACACAGGGTCTTATTTTCGTTGTCGACAGCAATGACAGAGACCGTGTAGTTGAGGCAAGAGATGAACTTCACAGGATGCTCAACGAGGTGAGTTTATCATGCAGTATGCCTCTATTTTGAAGTCTTTAATATTGATATGTCTTTAGCATTGTTTATGTAATCCAACTAAATTGTTACATATAGTTATGGCTTATAAGCTTGTGATGTACTTGTAAATCTGGATTGAAATGTTAGACAAACCACTTGATTTAACCTATTTATATCTAAAATTGAATTATCACTATCGTAAGGGCTGTTCTTTTAAGTTTTGAACAATTTCCATCATATGTAAACTTTTGGGACCAAAAGAACTTTGTGATGCAATATTTATCATCACATTTTGTTGGAGCAATGATGGCTGTAAATTTTTCCCAGCGGTTTATGTCCTCTTTTAGAAGTCTCAAAAGCCCCCATAAGGAAGTATCATCTCATTCATGTAGCATCACCTATAGAAATCATTTAGTTATCTCTTTATGAGATTAATTTTTTTACTTGGTAAAGCAGGCACTCGTTCTTTTTCAATTTTGTATAGTTGGATTGTCTTACCATTTGTCTGTTACAGAAGTGTTTTATGATGAAAGAATAAATCCACCTATATCCTTATTTATACCAGACAATGTAAAGAAAACTGCCTTCTTACTATTATCTATAATAACTTCATCTATCGATATTGATGGAAAAGGTCCCAAACATATTGGTTTTAAGTGAATAAAGAGTACTATATGTAGTCTGTTTTCTTCTGCACAAAAACTCTTCATAGTGTAATTGATTTTTTTTTTAAAGAATCATCTCGTGGGCACATAAATGTTTACATTTTTTATCAGTTATGGCAAGCATGGAAACGGAACTCATTGCATATACTATAGCTAGCTATAAATGTCCATGAGCAGTGTGCATCATTGCTTCTTATTTCATTACCAAATCGTGTTGTAACACGATATTGCAATAATTTGTGATGAAATAAACTTAAAGACGAACTTAGTATTGAGGAGCCATTGTGTTGTTGCCGCAACATGAGACATTCCTTCTTTCTTGGACACCAATCATATTTTTCTGATCATTGTAGGATGAGTTGCGTGATGCTGTCTTGCTCGTGTTTGCAAACAAACAAGACCTGCCAAATGCTATGAATGCTGCTGAAATTACGGATAAGCTTGGTCTGCATTCCTTGCGTCAACGGCACTGGTATAACATTACCTTCTTGTTGAGCTAGAAGTTCATAACTTTGATTTCGTTCTTCTATCCTACAAATGTTATTAACGATTTGTTAATGGTTTGCACTGGATTCTCAACTCAGATCATCTAAAGCAACCACGATTTGTTTTCATTCTATTATCTTAGGGGGTCTTATTGTTCTATAAGTAATTGGTTGGCGTGCTTGATCAGACATTTGGGTTTAGGTCCACAATAAATTAAAGGCTATTCAACTCTAAAACACCACAAGCATAGATTACAAAGAACCATCTCTTGTAGCATTCTTGTTTCGTGAGTAGTCATGTTCTACAACAGTTTAAAATGTGGTATTAGATTCACAAAAAGCTTCAGCATACTCTCCCATGACGAAATGCTGTCAGATGACCGTTCAAATATGACATTAGTCTCACGAAGATGTTATTTTTGATCTGCTGAAATTTGCCAGGTACATACAGAGCACCTGCGCCACAACCGGTGAAGGTTTATACGAGGGGCTTGATTGGCTGTCCAACAACATAGCCAACAAGGTAGCAACCACATCAATTAATTCACCCGTTCTATTTATGTGTGCTGATATATTATCGGTTTTTTTCTCTTTTTCTATCAGGCCTAAGCTATGACGATGAAGTTCCAGGAGCTCTCGGATCTAAAAAACCGTCTCTTGGATGCCTTAGGTATGACGATGATAAGAAAACCTTTAGCTTAACTTATGTGAATTAATTTTACCTCAGATTTTGCACTTTAATGTGTTTGCTACTTATGCGTCATATATATGACTTTTTCATACATTCTTTCAGAAACAATTCTATTTTGTTGATCATTGTGATGGCCTTTCATTGTTGAAATTTCTGTCTGCTAAGAGCACTCTCACTTTTATTTATACAAAAGCATGCCATGGACGGTGTTTATTTCTTCATCCAGCAAACACGTGCACACACGCGCACACATTACCAACAGTAAGAAGCCTCAGAAACCCATCACATCTTGCCATGGGGATCGACGCTCTCCGCCTCCCTCTTCGGCTCGTCCGCCGCCTTATCACCTTCGTCTTTAGACGCTGTCAGCGTCTCTTTTACCCTCTCGGCCACGCTCCATTCCGCACCAAGAATTCCTCCCTTATCATCTCTTCCCCTACCAACCATAATGCACCAAAATCCTCAAACTATCCGTAATCCAGTATCCTACAGAACAAAACAGGCTTACTTCTCTGTGTCCTTGGCTCTGTGCACCTCGGTGCTTCGCCTTTCCTCCTCCCTCTCCCTTGCTCGCTCTGCCTCTTCCAGCTTCTGCCTCGCCCTCTCCTCCGCTTCCGTCACCTTCCCCTGTCAAGCAATGCACACATCTCCATTATCTTAATCCAGAAGAAACGGAAGCGTTCACGGCAGATAAGCCTAAACCTTTGTCGCTTCTCCTGTCCCGGCCAAGTAGTCCCTGGCTTTCTGGGCGGCGTCAGCCGCCGCATCCTTGTAATCCTCCATCTTCTGCTTCGCCGTCTCCGTCGCCGTGTCCTTGTACTCGCCTAGCTTCTCCTTCGTCTCCTCTATCTTCTCCACAGTGGTGTCCTTGTGATCCTTTGCCTTTTCGACGACAGCGTCCTTGGTCTGCCCGGCCTTCTCAGAAGTCTTCTCCGCTGCTTCCTGCGTTCTGCCGGTCATCGCTCCGAGGAGGGACTTGGTGCCCTCCTTGATGCTCCCGAGGACGCCCGGGTGGTGCTTCTCGCGGGCGCCTTCCCGCTCGTGCCCACTTTGGGAGGGTGCGAGCTCGTCCGCCGCCTTCCTCGCGCCGTCGCTCTCCCGCTCCTCGCGCGCCTCTTGCCCCGTCGACATGGTTTAACTCGCTCCTCAACGATTTCAACCAGCTGCTTGGCCTGCAGGCTTAAATGGAGAAGAGAGGAGGGCACGTGGAGGTGCTCGACGATTGCGTTTGGCGGCAGAAGACTCACAGTAGTACGCGTGTGAAGAGCTTTTTGTGCACTACTGTAATGGTTGGACACGTCGATATATCTCATTTCTGTCGCATAATTTAGAAAACAAAAAGCATAAGTGCCACGCTTTCTGTAATAAGATACTATTATTAAACTAATATCAAACCAAATCGAACAAAAAAATATATAATTTTTTTTATTAAACTTTACAGATCAACGACTCTTACACTTACTTGACTTGAATACTTAAGACCTTTAAATTAATATAGATGTAGAATATAAGAGTATCTAATCTCTACAACTATATCTAATTTTATTTGAAATATTCTAAAATATATTTTAAACTAAAAAATTATTATCCCTAAAGCTTTATCTAATATTATTTAAAAGATAAAATATTAATTTGATGTTTTAACTTATTAACACTTTTATATTTTTGAAGATAAGTCCTAACTTGCTTTAGAATCCAACCGAACTTGCTCAGCAACCAAGATTTCGCGTCGACCATGACGAACTGCAACCTCACCACCAAACTAGTAAAAGGTAATAAATAGAGAGACTAGCATGTCAATGAAGTCGTGAACGAGGTTCCTCGTGAACTCGCCGATCGAAAAGACCACCGTGGGCACCATATAATTTTCAATACATCTTGGGCGTGTTTCTATGTGAACGACTTAATTGTCCATTCCTTTACATGGGCAATGGCGGCTTGGTTGTGCTTTCGGGCGAAATGTTTGATCTTCCATTCTTGGCTACTCAAGGAAGGCTGTAGTTCGATCTTTGCTTGCTTTCACCCTTATATTACCTTCTGCTTCACAAACATTCGATCTCTGACTGATTTCAACGCAGATAAGTTTCTTTGACTCTATAACAGCTTTCTCTTCACTTACCTTACCCCATTGACACTGTGCTACCTTCTTCATCACCAATCCGTGAATCAAGTTATTCGATGCGAAAACTTTTAGAACTATTGGAATACCTCTTGACCTAAACTTACTAGATGGAAGACCATTAAAATCTCTAACTGGATTTTGTGCAGAAGGCACAACATCCATGACCAAATTCAAGAATAGACTTGTGAAATCTAAAATAGTACCAAATTCTTCAAAAAACCAATTGACATAAGTTCCCAGGTTTCATATTTACGAAGACCATTCATTTCTTCATTTATGACATCCTCCCACACCTTAACACCTTTGGTTTCAAGATCATTAATTGGTTTAGAAAAGAAATAATGTCATATGTTTATATTGTCTCTATCTCTGCAACATACAATTGTTCATTTTGATCTACTCAATGTTGGAATTTCCTCTTTATAGATATAATTACTCTCTCTATCGTTTTGCTCCATCATTAATGATGAAGAAATAATATGAATAGATAGGAAGGAGATGAGCTAAAATCTATAGGAGCATCAGATGACAAAGGAATCTCAACCACATGTTTTAAACATATATCAATTTCATTATTATGATTAATATTTTTTTTTAAAATTATTTGTGAAGAATAATGGCAAGAAACTTCATCAAACACAATATCTCAAGATACCACATACTTATGTATTTATGGATCTATACATTTTCAACCTTTCTTCCTTTCATTATAACCAATAAAGATATATTTCTTAACTATAGCATCAAGTTTGCTTCTTTAACATTTGATGTGAACATAGCATAAAGAACCAAATACTCAAAAATATTTAACATTTGATTTCTTATCAAACATGAGCTCATATAAAGACTTCAGATTGATTGGACTAAACGAAGTTTGATTAATAACATAAGTTGCACATGTTATATCTTCTCCCTGCCCATAAGACTTTGGGTAAATTCTTTACATAAAGCCAATATTTATAAGTCTCTACGAGATGTTTGAATCTTTCGTTCAACCACACCATTTTATTATGGTATAATTGCATATGCAATTCCCTTTTGATGCCATACTTTTTATAAAAAGATAGGAAACTATCATAAGTGAACTCATTGCTATTATCATTTGTAATAGGGAAAAGATTTTAATGAGATTATGATTATTATCTAGAATATAATATACACTATTTAATATAATATAATTATTATCTTTATATGAGATTATGATAGTACTTTTCTTTTCCACTTAGTGAACACTATTATTTACCGTGATAATTATATCATTACCGATGAAAACTAGTAAATTTAGTATCATCACTAGTAAAATGATGATCATATCCTGAGTCAACAATATAGTCATTTTTAAAATGGATAAATGTCATATTCTTAATAGTTTAAGTCATAAAGCATTTGTCTCAATCTTCATTGGTAACATTAGAACAATCTTCTTTATTTATAATATTTTTTTTAATCTTCGTACGATAGTTTTTCTTAATATGACGTAACTTACGACACCTATAACACTTGACATTCTTTTGATTTGCACCATTGTTTGAAGAAGACTTTAATGTTAGCATCATTTTTTTTTTACTTTATTATTATCATTATCCTTTTTCTTATTTATGAAAAGAGTATCTTCATTTCTCTTGAAGTAGAAATTCTCATCATTTGACGAGCTAGGAATTCCTGAGAAGTAAAAAGAATTTTCAACTCTATAAAGGATAGTTGTTGAACATAAATATATTCTTTTCAAAGACCATGAACAATATAACATTTCATTCATGCATAAAAAATAGGCTCATCTGGATCTAAAAGTAATATATCTAAACATAAGTTTTAATCTTCAAAAAATACTTAGAAATCAAGATATCACCTTGGATAGTATTTGTCAAATCCCTCTCAAAATATTGAAGCTGAGTCATATTATTTTTGTTAAGCAATGCATCAAGAGTGATCCAAATCTCTAAAGCTGATTTACAACAAATAATGTATTCAAGGAGATCATAAAAAATATATATTTTTAATATAAATTTAACCTTTGTTTTTAAAGTCCTTCATCTCTTTATGACATATTCAGTAGTATTTGATATTGTTATTGCATTATCACCATCCATATAAGTCTTTTAGATCTTATAGTTAGACTGATTGAGAAGTTTAATACCGAATTTACCAACTCGACTATAATTTTTCATAGTCGAAAAAATTTATTTTTTCTTTACCAAAGAAATCTTGAAATATAAATTATCATTCTTATGGCTCTGATACCATGTAAAAAAAAGAAAGGATCACATGTAAGCGTAACATTTTCTCAAATAACAATAACAAAATACTACTAATCCAAAATCATACCAAATAGAAGAAGAATAATAAAAAAAAATTATTAAACTTCTCAAAAGAAAATAGATGTTGAACAATTTTTAGACTCCGACTTGAATGCTAATTATGTAGTTACCATCTATTTATAAATCTGAAATATAAAAATTTCTAATCTCTCTCTATCTAATTTTATTTGAAATCTTCTAAAATATATTTTAAGCTAAAAATATCTTTATCTCTAAAATTTTATCTAATCTTATTTAAAAGATAAAATATTAATATATGATGTTTCGAAATTTGAACTTTTTAACGGTACGCCCTATGATTCCTTTTGCTACTACTCACTAAGAGAAAACCCAAGCAGACACCATCAATCGGAAGCCTTCCAATCGTGGGCCCTCCTCATCCGACTCCCCCAGCTCTCGTCCTCCCCCCCGGCGCACTGCCGAGCGCCGCTCCGCCGCCGCTTCAGCCCCTCCAGCTGGCTCACCCAGTCCCCGAACCCCCACGCGCCGCCGCCATTACGGAGGACCACCCCGCCACCGACGGCGATGGCCCATCCGTCGGCCCGAAGGAGCGAGACGTCGTAGTCCCGGCGGCGCGACGGGTCGGAGAGAACCTCGTAGGCCTCCCGTGCTCGCATGAAACGCTCGGCGAAGTAGGCCTTGTCCACCGCCGTCCGGCACGTGTCCGGATGCCACCGCCGCGCCTGCACCCGGTACGCCGCCTTGATCTCCTCCGGCCCCGCCGTCTTCTCCACCGACAGCAGCTCGTACATGGTGGCCGACTTGGTCTGCGCCGGCCGCGCAGTCGCCGACACTCTCAGCAGCATCCTCGTACCGCCCAAGCAGCAAGGTTTGGGAATCGAAGAAGGCAAAGTTGTCATTTCAATCCTATTCCTTATTCTTCCCCTCAATTGATGATATCGGAGGAGATACGGAGGAGCGGCCGTTCATATATACAGGCGGGTAGGCAAAACCGTATGGCATGGATGAGACAGACAGCGGAGAGTCAACTGTGGTCAAAGCCTACGGGATTGGACAGAACACTGTGGGCGAGCCGAGGGAAGGGGGAAGAGAGCGGTTTTTGCTTGAATCAACGGCGTCGACGCCGTTTAAGGTTTTAAACAATGGTACATTGGATCAGTATAACGTGTAAAATATATAATATTATATTTTAAATCTTTAATTTTTGATAAATGAGTTTGACATCCCTTCATCAGATTTATGTAGTATAGCTGTGAAGGTATCCTTCCCAATCCGTGGATTTACTTCATCCAGAAAATAGTTCATCTGTTATCTATTTCAATGTCCTTCAACACGCAAACCAGGAAGAACTAGCAAGAACTTGCTTCCCGAACAGTCTGCAGTGATTGCTTCGATCATCTCCTTAGGTGGTGATACGTCATATTTTCTTCCCAAGTCAAAATATTGTTATCTTAGTATCGCTGACTAAAAAATTAACATGACCTGATTCGGTCCCCAGGGTAAAGATTCATCCAAGGAGCCCCACAAGGTAAGGGTGCAACCCACCAAAGCGGTCAGCTAAGATAGCACGTGGGCTCTCGATATATTGTTGGCTCACGGTGACGATCTTGCGATCGCTCCGAGGCTTCCCTATCGAAGGGAGCTCGGGGTCGTCTCGAGATATGACTTGTTTGCCGAAGGGAGCTTTGGGTCGTCCTAAGGCACTCCTTAGATATGCTGGAGTCTTACACAATTGATCAGCGATGGAAAATTTTTCTGTCCCGACCCCTTCGACGCTCAAGTTAGTATCCGAGATCCCCAAATATATGTTCAAATATTTTAAAATGAGTGAGTCCTCTAATTTCCCATTTAAGATGTGTTTTTATACCACATAGATGAAAATAAAGTTTGTGATATTCTTCCTTATTATAAATGAAGAGAAGAGAGTTCAGGATTGTCTTCCTTATGATAAAAGAAGGCAAAAAAATTTGTGATTATCTTCCTTGCCATAATGAATGAGAATGAAGCTTGTGTTTCTCTGCTTTGATACTTTATACATGTACATAGATGACTTGTTTGACACATGGCGATTGTGTGTCAATTGTTGATAAATTTTCTATCATTTATCCTCCTAGAAGGTGTGCTTCGTGGCTCTAGTAGGGGGTTCGAGGCACGTCATTCGGGCATTTTGCTCTATCGAGGTGGAGTTTCGTTATTTTGCGTGTCCTATTCGAGTGTGTTTGGGTCGAGTTTTATGGGCTTCATTTGTAATGATTTTTGTTTATCCGCTTTTGCGGGCTTGTTCGTGCACTGTAATAGTGGTTCTATTTGTCAACCATAGCGGGTTTTGTTATTGACCATCGTAGTGAGCGTTGGGCCCCAATGTGATAGGTTTTTTATCGTAGGTTTTGCCTATACCACCATTGCAGGAGTACAAGTCCACGATTGCGAATTTTACCTCGACTACCATTGTGGGAGTAAAAGTCCATCATTGCATATTTTGACTCAATTGTCATTGCGGCAGAAGGAGTCCACTGTTATGGAAGAAGAAGTCTGTTATCATGGATTTTGACTCGACTGTCATTGTAGGAGTAGAAGTCTGCCATTGCGAAAGAAGAAGTCCAGCATTATAGATTTTGACTCGAATGCTAGTAGGAGTCCACCGTTGCAGATTTTAACTCGATCATTGTTTGCTGGAGTAGGAGTCCGTCGTTGCAGATTTTGACCCGACCATCGTTGCGAGAGTAGAAGTCTGTTGTTGCGGAAGACAAAGCCTATCATTGTGGATTTTGACTCGACTGTTGTTGCGGAAGCAAGAGTCTGTCGTTGCATATTTTGACTCGACCGTCATTTGCAGGAGTAGGAGTCTGCCATTTTGAATGAAGAAGTCCGTTATTGTGGATTTTGACTCTACCTCCTCCTTCGCCTTTGGGATACGGGCTTTCCTCCTTTGCCTTTGGGAAAAGGAACACAAGCTCTCCTCTTTCGCCTTTAGGAGAGGTCACACGAGCTCTCCTTTGCCTTCGGGAGAGGACGTTGGTTTGGGGCCTCGCTATAGTAGGCCCAGCTCGACCATCGTGGCAGAGAGTTACGGATTGGTTCAACTGTCGTAGTAAGAGTGTGGTTTCCGTTATAGTAGCTTAGTTCGACCACTATAATGAGTGTGGATCCGCCGTAGTGGCTTATTTCGACCACTGTAGCGGGCGTGTGGTTTCCACCATAGCAGCTTGGTTCGATTATTGTAGCAAGAGTATAGATCCACCGTAGCTACTTGGTTCAATCGTCATAGTGGGCGTGTGGTTTCCGTCTCAGTGGTTTGGTTCGACAACCGTAGCGGGCGTGTGATTTCCACTGTAGCGGCTTGGTTTGACTATTGTAGCAGGCATATGGTTTCCGTCGTCATGGCTTGGTTCGAGCACCATAGTGGGATAAGTCATTTTTTAGGGACCTCGATTAGTTGCTATGTTTGGGGGGAGGGGCCTTGTCGAGGTCTTGGGGGTCGGTGAGTGGGTCCCCTGACTTCACCTTCTATCTTGGCATGCTGAGTTATTTTTGACGTGGTGCGCTTTATTTAGCTTTTGATTCTAAGGGGGCCTGCCTAAGGATTTGGATTAGTCTCAAGCCATTTTTAGGGCATTGGGGCTTCGATCTAGTTAGGTTTTGGGAGCTTGAATCTTACTGTAGTTGTTTATAGGAGACGACGTAAGGATTTTGTGTCGTTTTAGGCGGATATATGCAAGCGTTATTTTAAGGGAGACGAGGGCTCTTCTTGTGCCCCTTCGGTTATCGGGAGGGGCTTTATTTAGCACCCTAACCCTGGTGCTCCCATGTGCCTCTTATTTTGGTCTTTTCTGCTTGATGTTTGTTTGTGCTACTCAAGCTTTGCCCTTTTTTGCAGGTTTGGATCCTGGCAGTCGCGGTCTTCCAGTATCCCTTGTTGAGCTTTGGAGCTCATGGGAGGTCGAGCGAGGGTCTCAAGTTGGGCTGGAGCAGTTTGCAGAGTCACGAACTCCAACGCCTTTGGGGGGTGGTGGCCCATCTTGCCAGGGCCATGGGGACTCGACATGGGCACGGAAGAGGCGCAAGTGTGTTGTTAAGACTGTTCCTTCACCACAAGTGCCCTACCTGGAGACAAGGGGCCTTGGTGCGAGGTGGGGGACACACCGCTGAGGGGTCATCTTGTGAAGGCATTTGCATCGGTCGGGGTCTCCTAGGCCCTGGTCTCTTTGCAAGTTATATTCTTGTCATTCGGGGTTCTTCATGGCCTTTGAAATAGTCAATCGACTCATAGTGGTTCATTCTTAGGGCCCATTATGAGGGGTTGACTCAAGATATGAGAGTGTGAGAGAGCTCATCGATTGCAGGCAAATACTACCGGAGGTCGCTCAGCCTGTACTGAGCAAAATGGTGTATTGTACCTGGTAGGTTCCTACACATGGGTCTCTTTTTATATCTCTCTGATACTGACCCGTCTGTTTTGAGTAGCATCACTATTACATGACAGGCCTTGCAGATCAGGCCTATGATATTGGGATGTTAGTGGATGAGTTGTCTTAGTGAATGAGGGTCTCCAAGCGAGGATCACTGAGCTGGAGAAGGGGATTCCCTCAATAATTAATGATGCCTTGGTCGCTGAGACGATTGGTCTATTGGGGCATGCTTGACAGTAACTGAAAGATGTTGAACAACGTTCGGTGATCCTACAGTAGAGATTAGTGGATGCCCAAGAGAGGGGAGACTAATTGGAGGATAATCTGCATATGTGCTCTAACGAGTTGATAGCCATAAAGATGGAGGCCAAGGAGGCTAAAGAGCTCTTGGAGGAGGAGCGATGTCAAGCTCACGATCTAGAGAGGGGAGCGATCATGATGTTTAAAGAGTCAGAGGGGTTGTGATGGGGTCTGCTGAGATCGAGAAGGGCTTCGTATCGATATAGGTACCTTATTGCTTGGGGACACTTTAAGGCCAAGTATTTAAGAATGAGTGTCGAGGAGGATCCCTTTACTTTGTGACCTAAAGATCTCGACGTCCTCGGAGCACAGGCCCCTTTTGCTGAGAGCCCTAACTCGCCCTCCTCTTCTTATTGAATGCTTCAATCTCTTCTCCTTTTTTTTTTGGTCCTTTTTGAAGGGTTTCTGAGTTTTTCGGACGTGAGCCCTTGATTGTAAGCACTGTACTAGTGCAAGTCTCCCACTTTTAATGAAATTTTCTTTCTCTATGTATCATTCTGTTATAGCTTTTCAGTTGAGGTGATGCTATAAAGACTGAATCCTTTTTGTTGATATACTACACTTAAGATAGAGTCATGTCTTCCATAATCTTGAGAAGATAAGTTCTCTCTCGGGTGTGACCTCATCGAATATTCTTTTTTTTTAGAGTTGGAAGATGGGTGGAAGGATATGCTATATCTAATTTGGGAATAATTTGATATATATATATATATATATATATATATATATCACCTTGACAGGGTCGACGTTACCTTGACATAGATCAAGAGTTGGGCTCGCCACCACGGATCCCACCAATCAACCACTACGTCCCCGTGTTTCCGTTCAGGGGTGACTCGCACTCTTCGTCAGTAGCCTTCCCGCCTTGAAACGCTGTGATTCGTCCAATAATTATTATTTCATGAAGTAGATTTGGGCGTACCCAACATTACTTCATTTATGCAATTAGAGTTTATTTCTTCTTTTTTTTATCCCTTTTAATTCATCTTACGGAGATGTCTTCTACGTCGTGTCTTTTCTCAGATCTGTCTCTTGCCCATGGGATCCGTGCTGCCCTGAATTCGCCTCCCCTGTTCTGCTTCTAATTCCTCCCCTCTTTTTGTCTTGGGAGACGGTCTGATGAATGGGTCGTGCTAGATTTCTTTTGGATCTGTAATCTTCAACTCCTAATGGTATGTGCTGTTGATTCATCATGCCCTTCATTTTTTGATCTCTGGGACATTTCTGCGTTTGTTCATAGATTTGATCTAAATGCATTTATGTGTTGTTGCCATTGCTGTGAGCCACGTAATCGTGCCCGTATGATTATCTTCCTTTGCTTTTATGTAGTTCAGCTTGATGGCCGATGCACAATAACATTTCAGGAAAATGTGGAACGAACAATTCAGTTCATATGTATACTCTGTATTGTTTCTTTTACCCATATGATCTGTGGATGTCTGAATTATAATATGCTTTTAGTGGGGAAAATTACTGTGATACTTTTCTCTGCTCAATCTTGTAAGGTTGAAC